ATATATATATATATATATATATATATATCGTAGTGTATAAACTAACGACAACTGCACCAACGTGTTTTTTATTTTACCATCAAAGCAATATAAATTTATAGCATATAACACAAGTATCCATATATTGCATGAATCTATTACGTTAATGCTCAATTCAAGGAATTTTTAGCTAAGAAGGATTTATTTATATAATTTTGAAAACGTCTCGACGTCAGATATAAAATATAGCTTCCCATTTAAGATTTTTATATTGATTTTTGTATCACCTTGACATTGCCCTCCAGTCAAACTAAAATGACTACTAAATAGATCTTTTGGTACCAAACAACATTTGAAACATTTTTTTCTAAAATTTGTTGTTTTCAAAATATATTTAAGAGAATTGCGATACATTTTTTGTATCGTATATAATCCTATATATAATCAATCACAAAATGTTTGAATAATTCTTTTTTAATAACGCGGTTAAAATTAATAAATGTTTGAAATCACAAAAGGTTTGAATAATTCTTTTTTAATAACGCGGTTAAAATTTAACCAATCAGAGCCAAACGCAAGATATTAGTTGCTAAATTTATATATCAACCAAAATTGACTTAATTTTAAATTAATATATATATTTGACAATGTAAATGCACATGAATGCTTTAGTCAAACATATATTTTTATATATTTTTCTCTCTATTATCAAAGCTAAATTTTTCTAATAATTATTACAATAATTATTACAATTCTCTTCATACATTTCAAAATGCTTAATCAAAAACACGTTCCCTCACGGGTTCATTAATTGCATTCCAAACTACGTCGAAAAAAGTGTTGAAACATTAAAACAAAGTGGATACGACGTCGAGATGAATTTTAGTCTGATTCGTCAGGTCACTCACCATCCTCTCCTCTCGGCGAGTCCTCTCCAAACCGAGTCCGTACGGACTTTGCGCTCGATCAACTTCTTCCAAAGCATTCCTTCGCTGATCACCCTGTGCCATTCTTTGCACACCAGCTCCGCGGCGATCAGTGAGTCGGCATCCAAGTACGAGAGAATACTCTCCGCCACGTGGTCTAGCCCTTTTTCTGCAAAAAACAAATTCGTCCAACGTCGTTAGAATTGCGACTGGAGAAACGCGAGTCAATTATAGATACGAAATGAACAATATGTGACAGACACGTGACAGAATGAGTTGAGCGTAATCGACACTTTACTCACTTGGCAAGAGCGAAATGAAGTCTCGTTGCAACATCGGCTTGAGATACGCATTGATGTGTCCATGCTGATAGTGACACATCCGCGCCAACAGTTGCTCGACGAAGTGCACCTGCTCCGGCTCGCTCCATCTCTCGAAGAGCTTCACACAGATTTCTCTTTCCTGCCCGTAGTGTGCGGACACTCCCATAGGTTCTTTCTTGCGAGCGGGATCATAGAGTATCGTCACTGGATACTGCAATGCAAAGGTAGAGAGAAAATTACATTTTTTAAAATATCGAAACGCCAACTTCCCACACTTCAAGATATGCACGTTCCGTCAAAAATAAATAGGATTAAGTAAAAATTTGTTTAAACAAAATTATATAATGGCTCTCAAAAATTAACTTAGTTTACGTAAGATTACGTAAAGATTACATAAACAAAAACTAACTCAAAGTTAACTTATCAAAATTAAAAGTTGATTGTGCAAAACAATTAATGTATATGTTTTAATAATAATTAACTTTTTAATTGAAGATTTGGTTTGTGAATTATAAATGAAAAAGTAGTTTTTATAAAAAAAAAAAACTACCAATTGCTTTGCATTCAAGATTCCATACAAGAAAAGAACACTGCTTAGAGAGACAAAAAAATTCTCCTACCGTTATTTTATATTTTTCTTACTCAACATTGTTAGTTAGATAATGATAGCAGCTAAATAATGATTTAAGTGGATGATATATTTATATGAAAGAAAATTAACAGATTAAGGTCAATGCATATTAAAATAACTAATTCGAGTTAAAAGTTGATTCATTTAAAATTAACTGAATTGAGTTGAAAATTATTAAAATTTCAGCTTTTAGCTGATTAACTAGTTACTATTCGACTCTGAGGATAAATAAACGATCTCGCAAAATTCAGAAATTCAGTGAAATAATTTATTTTCTCCGGATGGATTCGAGGATCTCTCTTAGTGCACATTTGTATCCCAAGCGCGACTGCTGATGCAGAAGAGTCCGTCTTATCGGTATCACCGTTATCACCGGGGCGAGATCGATAGGTACGACACGATGGAGGAGCGAAATCTTCGAAGAGAAACGAACGCTATCGCGTCTGCATTCCAAGTTGATCGAAAAAACACGCATCGACTCGCGAAGTGAGCCGATAAATAGTTGCGTATACGAGTTGCGGTACAACACTCGCGAAGCTAGAATCGCGGATGCATCTTGAGGTAGCGCGAAGTACCGGGTTCTTGACCCTTCTCTCTCTCTCTCTTTCTCTTTCCCTCTTTCTCTCTCCTTCTCACTCCATTCGCTTGCTCGTATTCCGTCCCGCGCGCACGAGAGCTCTTATAAATTAATTCGTTTATACGTGCGTGTCGGTTTAAACGCGCGCGCGTCTCTGGTTCGTTTTCCTCATTAACGTAGAAATCGCCGGTAATCGTGTCTGGCGCGTGACACATAAACGAATATCCTCCATTTTTGTCGACTAATTATCCCGACGAAGCTTTATGAGCTCTTGATACAAATGTTAATCGCGATATCGAACGTAACACGGCCTGGCGTGTTGATGATACGCGATTATCAATTAATCGTCGGCGATTTTAACGGCGTTTGTGATTTTAATTACCGGTATCATTACGGCACCGCGACTCTCCGCGCTCCTGCTGGCCAATCGACACACGAGAGCGACGGAAATTCAAATGTCACGCGCGCTAAAGTGTGCTTTTAAACGAAAGAAAGTAGCGTGTCGTGTCGTGTCGCACATGCCTCTCCTGCGCTTTCACCGTTTACGTCGTTTTCTTATCGTCGATATCTGTCATCGATGGCCGATCGTCCGATAATGCGTGAACCGCGGTGTAGATGCGGGGGGACATATATCGTCAAGGATATCCTTTGATCGCACAGCACAAGAGATGGACAAGAATAGAACGTAAGAACGTATTGATCACGCCTGATCCTCGCATCGTGTCCTTTGACCGAAGTGTTGCCTCTCTATCATATATCCACGTATATCGATTAAACATTGTTCCCGCTTCAGGTGACGCGAATCAGCGAAAGAAATATTCACACAAACGAATCAAGGACATTGTTAAAATTAGTAACGTAAGTTATACTTAATTGAATATTATTGAGAAAGAAAGTGCGTGATATATTTGTGTGTGTATGTGTGTATATATTTGTCTCTGGATTCTTAAACTTGAAACTTCGCTCTATTAAATGACATAAATGTCGATTTTGTAAATGTAAGTGCGATACAGAATTATTATAAAATATCCATTTTAATATCCTTATTTTTATCTGCTTTTGTTTCCAAACTTATGGAGGATACTGTACACACACACACACACACACACACACACACACACACACACACACACACACACACACACACACACACACACACACACACACACACA